CCCCCCCCCCAACAAACCAGGAAAACTCAGCTGGAAAGCAGGAAATTTCCTATCTCCAGCAAATGATAGATCTGGTTCTGCCTCAAGCAATTCAGTGACCAAAAGTATTTATGGTAAAATACCTGTGAACCATATCACAGAACTGTACAAAATATCCCCAACTTAGTGATCTGGCTGAATGCGAGTGTTTCTGAATCTGCCTTGGTACTGGCATCTCTTCTGTTTCCTTTTATATCAAATCTAAGCCTATTGGTCTGAAATTATATGACCAGCTACGATATTGCTCACCCATGCCCACACCTTATGTCTAGAAACAAGAGGACCTGACCCACCCCACTTCTGTCACAATGGTTCTTACCTGCATCTGGGACCCAATAACAGTATTATTGCAGGCCAACTCTGTTTTGTTGATTGTGTCTAGCATAGCAGTTTTCCCCACGTATTCTTTATTAGAGTTTAGATGACGCTCCAACAAGTTCTGTACATCAGCACTGTACTGGTTAGTAAAGGCTTCTTCGTACTGATCTGTCCAGAGTCGTATGCGATTCTCCCACCCTTCAGCTGTGTTTTCATCCAAGGCATGTGCTTCAGAAGGGGAATTCTGCACCAAACAGCAAAGAATGAATGCCTAGCACACAATGGGAAAAACCTATCCACAGCTGTCTGAGCATATGAATATGCTACAAAAAAGGCAAATCCATTCCAAGCTAAGAATGTGCCAGTTATGAGGACACCTTTTTCAGAACCTGCATCCGTCAGAACATTGTACAACAGTGCCGCTTAGGAATCTACAGAGAACTCTGTACAGGACTAAGACCTCTTGAGAGCTGGTCCTCGGCACTGCTACATACAAGAAAATTAAGCTAGTACATAACCAGAAAAAGTTTAAGTCACTTTGGAAAAATAATTAAGTAGATTAAAAAAGCGAAGGAACAGAACTCACAAAGGCAAATAAATCTCATGTAGGCTTTTCCTACAGTCAACCCACTCATGTTCAACATAATGCTAGATGATGCTGACTGCATCTCAATCTTTGCAGTGACTGATCCGAAAATACTTCTGAACCTTCTAGCTAAACGGTCATCAGGGTTTCAAGAAACTGAACGTAGAGCATACGCTAATACCCAGAGGGTTACAAAGGCAAGCCCTAAGCAGTGTAAAGAAGAGAGGGCAAAATCAGGTAATCCATTTATACCACCTTGTAAGGGAGGGGAAAAAAAGAAGCTGGTAGGAAAAAAAAAAAAAATTAAGCTTCATTCTTTACTTTACAATAGTTGAAGTAATTCAACAAATAGTATTCCAGAGGGCAGTAACTCAACTGGCTTCATATGGGACTGAGACATACATGCCACTGAGGTATTAGTGACAAGGACCACTGAAGAACAATCATTATTTGCATCATACATATTAAAAGCATTAAGAGTTTTAATGCATTTTTACTCTCTCAAGGCACTTGCGTACTATGGAGACAGGCACATACAGACACACCACAGGACTGTTCTATTTCCTCTGAGCCACCTGCTAGAAGCTACAGTACTGGGGTCAGATGGAATTGGGTGTACTTTAAGGCACCTCTTGTGTTTCTAGGAACACGTTTAGCTCAAAATGCAAGCCTACTTTTTTGCCAAATAAACTTTCTATCAGATAGCCACACCTACCAGTATTGCAGAAAGTCAGAGATAAATAATCGTCCCATCCACCCCTAGTAAGGGGATGTGGAGAGAAACAAGGCAACACTGCTAGGGACTCCCAAATTTAAACTTGCGTACTACTTTGATGCCCAAGCTTAAAATAGCATTGATGCAATCAAATGATAACTGACCTCACAGAAGAGTGGCCACAACCAGTTCTACATCCCTCACATCAAACACCCCACTCCCAAGTGTCATGAATCAGTCATATCTCTTGGAACTGGATGACATTACCTTACAGAAAGCTATGTGAAGCAAAAGCAAGGTTCAAGGAGCAATTCCTGTGATACCCTTTTGAATAGGCCTGCTTGTGGTGCATGGTAAGGCTTAAGATTATTCTGAGGTTTGTCCCACAATCAGAAATTCCCCAGGCAAACCAAGAGAGATACAAAATACAGGGCAAAAACCGCACCACCATCACAGAGGGTTCTCAGTTCTACTCACCTTCATCCTCAGAGACTTTCGGGAGCCCTCTCGAAAGGCCTGTCCCCCGAACAAGGAGAGAGAGAAAAAAAACCAAACTATTATGTATTTCCTCAGAATTAGCGTCCCAGAACCACACTAGATCTTACTCCAACAGACCAACCCTTAACAAAAGATGACAAGAATTACAGGAAGACCTATACAAGAAGCAAAGGACTTGAACAAAAAGACTCTGCAATGCAAATCCAGTGGAAACTGCTGAAAACCTTGATGGCCAGGATTTCTGAACTAAAAAGGCCTGCCTCATACTTAGTAAAAATCTCAAGATCAAAACCAAAACTATCCCGATTAACCCCACTTGCTTTGACAGAAGGAAGGGCCAACAGAATGAAGCTGGTTCACAACAAAAAACCTGAAGACCTCACATGGCTCCTGCTCACAGTCTTTTATTTAATCAGTGCCTACCAGAAGAACTTCAAGAGAAACCTAACCTGGGGAAAATCATGGTAAAGCTAGCAGATGATGGGAAAGAACCAGCTGCTCACACACTTGTATTCCAATATAAGCAATCCAAAATTATTTCAGTCCTCAAACCCTCACAAACAAGACAGTAAAGTCATCCTTCAACAAATGTTCATCACTACCTACATAGTTTTCCACACAGGCACTATCTCTGTCCCTGAAGAACAGTGCGAAGAAGCTCTGCAGCCCAGATTCCTTAACATAGCCTGCTAAGAAATGCCATGCTCCCTTCATTTTTCATTCCATTCACAGACTGCCCCTTTGTCACAAACAGATGGACTCCAAAAGCTATTTCCCCAAATCCTAATAGAGCAGAAGGGAAACTATGTAATTGAATCCAAGCTCTGAGCATGAATGGACAGCATTGGGAAATAAGGGTGGAGTTCCAGTAAGGTAATTTTTAAACCAGCAGCCACGTAGTCTAGCAGGTCACAAATACAAGGCGTCACGTTATTACACCAGAAAGTGCAATTCCTGACAAAAGGAACAAAAGGTTTTTGTCCTGACAAAGACAAAAGTTTCTTGTCAACTGCCAGCTTGTCAACCTGCTCTCAACAATACTCCACACAGCATTTGGTAGGAACTGTAGCAATTGTGTCTCACTCCACACACCTTGATCTTTTTGGCCTTTGGAGCAGTGCGAGCTTTTTCTGTACTCCTCTTCCTCTTCTTAGGTTTGCTTCTACGGACACGGTTGACAGTCAATGTGATGCTTGTAGGGGTGTGCTGCGTAGCTGTGTACAGCACTGTAGAGGGAGATAGTTCTTCATCCCAGCTCTCAGTTGCACTGCTGTCCCCACCTATAGAGAGGAGTGATTTGTTAGCAACGTTTTTATTCATCCCAGAGAGAACAGCTTACCCTTATGTCCATTTTCATCAAGACAACTTGATGACCCTGCATAGCTCTTCCCTGACAAAACTATACCACCTCAGTTTTCCCACCCAAACTGGGAACAGGTGTCCCAAACTTCTGATATCTCATAGAATGGCACTGATGAACATTACCCTTTTCTGTTCGCAAGACAGTGTGATTTTCCCAAGAGCTAACTGAGGTGAGGCAGAAGGAGAGGAGAAAATCCCAGTGGTTGGGAGGCAAAGAACATTAGCGGGCACAGATCATGGTTATATGCTTACAACAGCCAAAAGACAAAGGTCTTGTAGAAAGAAAGCAAAAGTCGCTGTTACCAGAATTACAACCTCAAGCTCACCTGACACGTTGTCCTGCTTCCGGCGGCGGAGTCTGATCACCTTCCCCCTGCTCATTCCTCTGCCAAAGGAGAATGCACAATTGAAGCTGGTTTGTAGGAGTAAAGTCACTTGAAATTCAACAGGATGTCACAAGATGCGTGCCCTCAGTGGGGCCCAGGATGATAAGAACATCGATTTAACATCCTCATCTCCACTCCTGGTGCCACCAACACTTGTCAGGCTGACAACGCAAAGGAGGAGGGTCAATACTGGGTAAAGCACTGGAAAGAACGCTCCAGTTAGCAAAAGGAAGTCCGTCCCACAGCCCAAACGTGACACGGTTCAGTATGAGAAGTCAACACAAGGAGCAGTCCAGATCTGCACTGCACCAAAGCTTACCTGCACTTTTCACACTTGAGGAGGAAACCATCTTGGGAGACACTGCAGTGGCACCAAGTGGGAATTGATTCTCCTTCTGAGGAGCTCTCACTGTCCCCGGAGTTCTCCTCATCAGGTGAGTGCAGGCCGTTCAGTTCTGCACGAGGTATAATGGTCTGGACAGGAGGAGAGGCTGGCGGTGTTGGAGGAGGAGGGGCTCCATAATTATGATCCTGAAAACGAGTATTTGCAGTACTACTTTTAATGTGAAGATATGATGCCTAGAAACTGAAGTCCCAAATCCACAGTTCCCAGGTTATTATTTAACAACTGGTGTAAAACAGTAGTCTGAATTCCTCGATCTACCAAGAAGGTAGAACAATAGCTCTGAAAGATGTGAACGGTTTTCTTCTGCACCAGTAAATTAAATTCAAAACCTATGAAAACAACTAGGCTATTTCAACATTAACTGTTGTACAGCTAGTAATCCAAGATGACATCAGTGGTCAAACACTGAAACTGGTTGCCCAGAGACGTTGTGGAGTTTCCATCTGTTGAGATATTCAAAACCCAACTGGACACCCAAACCACAACTAGGCAACCTGCTCAAGCAGAGTCAGCTTGAGCAGGGGGGTTGGATTACGTGATCTCAAGAGGCCCCTTCCAACCTCAATGATTCTGTGAGGTCCCGTTCATCCCATAGTTTGAAGCCATGCTCCCACTCTTCCTGACTGTTCCTTGTTTCTCAGAGCTATAAGTTACCAACATGAAAGTCTGCGCAGTTGAAACAAGTATAAATAGTGCACAATAAACCAAACGGGGCATAAAATTACCACCAGGAAAATATTATGTATTCATGTATATTCACACTTCATTCATATACTTCAGTTAAAAATCTATCACCTAGAACACTAATAAAGCTTGCTTTATAGAATACACAAGACTTCACAAACAATAAACACACAAATGCAAAATGTATGGCAGAACTCAGCTGTAACTCTGTTCCCTAATAAATAAGCCAAAACTCCTAAGGCTTAACAGGCAAAAGACTATGGAACAAGGAGAAAAGAGTAAAGTAGACAGTAAAGAGCTGATTCACTGCAGAGAGAGTACTCACTGCGTAAGGCAGCCCGCGATAGCTGTGTTTCTGGGTGGCCCCATAGCCGTGGCTGGAGTACACATTCTTCTCACTGACAGCTGGACTAGCTTCCACAGACTCTGGGCTGCAGAAAGGGCCAGAAGCAAAACCCATCAATACAACATCATTTTTTTAGTGCCAGTATTTCACTGCTCTCTTCTGTTCAACACATGAGCTCAAAATGAAGAAACTTCACGAAATTGAGGTGTTATTATGCACTTCACCAGGCATCATGTGTGCAGAAGTTGTACAGGATGAACCTGCTTTCAGAGGGAAGGAACTGAGTAAGGGCCACCCTGGATAACTCATTAAACTTGGTCTCAATCTGGGAAGTTAAAAATAATTAGCATGTAAGAAGCTCAGTTTCCTTATAGTTGAGGAAGTTGGGTCTAGTTCAGCATTCACATCTGAACTCAGCCAGCCTAATCTAAAGCCACTGAACAGTACTGCCATGTTATCTCTGCAACAGCTTATTTCAAATAGCAGCTAAGCAGCTTTCTTTCCTGCATCTGTGCTTGTTTCTCTCTCCCTCAGATACTAATTGTTAGCTGAATCCAACATTCTTGATAAAGCCTGCATGAAACCTGCAGCTGTCCTGACAGCAACTACCAGGAGTTGGAGATTCCTGTTACAAAGAGGCAACAAAATTCATGACCTGGACAGACAGTGGCCACAGACAAATCAGATTTGCCATGCGCTTTCTATAGAGCAACATGGTGTGCAATGTGCTGAACAAGAAATTTGCTGCTGAGGTACAATGCACTCTTCCACCACATGGTGGTGAAAAAAAAACAGCTAAAAATGAAAGGTATATCCTTAGCAGAAAGCTGCAGAAACCCTACTCAGAAAAGGGACAGCTGCAGTTCAATGCAGGGAATATTAGATAATGAGGCTACAGACAGAATACAAGCAAGGAAACACACTGTCTGTTACAAGTAGAAGATACAAGTCAGCTAACCTCTGCACAGATCAGAAGAAGGGCCCATATCAGAATACAGCAGAATATTACTGAATCCTATCTGCAGGTAAAATGTTCTTCAAAATTATAGCATGGAGCTGAGCAAGCAGGAAATAAAAAGAGTGTAAAGGAAAACTTTACCTTGGACCTCTGCTGCTCTGGTGAGATCTTGCAGGATTCTCAGTGGTTCCTACATTGTCAGCGTGAATCAGGCAGTACTCAAAGAACAATGGCCAGTGGTCACGCGTGGGGCAGCATTTAGGCACCACCTAAGAACACTAACCCCTGTGCCCTTTGGACTTCCTACTAGTTTTTGAAATCTCTGCTGCATTGAAGTTTGCCCCACCCTGCCACAACCTGATATACTCTCCAACGCACTAACCTTCTGAGCTTCTGGCTTATTCTGGAGTAAGGTGGATCTGTCTTTGTAACATAAAGGGAGCAATAATTTATTGCACAAAGAACTGCAGAAAGTAGAAGACCTTAAACCTGTGCAAACCACGCTTTTGTAGCTCAGGATTCAAGAGCATGACATGATAAATTCAGTTGGTTTTCAATGTAACTACAGCCAGCTAAATTGTCAAAACCAGGAAATACAGGTGGTGATACCTCTCAGAGGATACATTTCTTAATAAAAGACACCGTGCAGAGTTTGCCACATAATCCAGCCTTGCTGGATCTTTGCAACAGTCCTTTAGGACTTCCAGATTGGTACACAGTTAAATCCATTCAGGTTTAACTGTATCTTCAGAAACAATATTAGAAGGAACAGAGCCTAAGCAGCAGATCTGTCCTCTGTCCAAGTCACCCACATTCCTAACTTCAGTCAGCCTCAAATACCAGCAATGCTGCCGCAAGCATTAGCAATAAAACTTCAAGACTGTTGGTGCAACGGTGTCCAGGGGCAACAACACTGGGGCCCATGCTTCCTCAGCAGCAGCCTGCCAAGGAGCTTCAACAACTTCCAATATGCAGTCAGACTAACACAGCGTAACTACTCTGCAGCCTCCATGCCACCCTCAGATGAACACAAACACCCTTCAGCATTTTCACCTCCCCTCTGTATCAGAGGCCAGGGGAAGATGCTAAAGCTCAGCCTGAAAAGAGGGGCAGCTAGTTTTCCTTTTACCTTCCCACGGCCTTCCTGATGCGTATCTTTGAACTCCATCCCTTATAAGAGACAAGAAGCTCAGATACCCCAGACTTCATGCATCAAACTAGTAGAGTTTCAAAGAAGCGGAGGATAGCCTTAACTTTGAACAGATTCATGAAGGACACTTCAGCACTAAGTAACAGTGCATCAATGCAAAGCCTGGAGAATAAAGTCCCGGCATTCCCAATTTTTAGAAAACAGACAGAGAAACCAACTCAGAAATCTTCAAAAGCCTTTTTTCAAAGCACTCCAGCCTAGCCTCAAGTTGGACCTACAAATTTCTTACAACCAGGGAAAAAGAAAATGCTTTGCAGAAGGTTTATAGACAGTCTTTTTGATATTTAATTGCTACAAGGGACGTGTGTAGATATATCTGGCTCTCCGTTCTACCATGCTCAGCTCTGAAAGCAAAGTGCCTAGTATATGAGTAAACTATTTAGCACTCTTTCTCCTGTCATAAACAGTTTAAAATTCCTGCATGTTGACTCTTTAAAGTGCTGGTGTGGGAGAAGCATGGTGACAAGCAATACTGAAATGTTAAATCTTGAAAAGTGAAGGATCATATACCCACTGCAGATGACTTACTAGATTCTGACTCCCTGTTTAAAAACATGTAAAAATATGGGCTTTAGGATGGAATGAAGCATCACGAAGAAGAATGCCTAGAATGGGGCCAGTGCCAAGACAGACAAAAAAGAGCATTAGCAGTCTTGCAGAGAGTGCAACTGTGTAGTCAAACTCTGTGCATAGTCAAAGCAGGGCAAGATGGAAGGGAAAAACAATGATTCATACCCTAGCCTACTGCTCTTACAGCTGAAAATTAATAGAGTCTGGAGCAATATCTGTTCTACACTAATCAATCTGACAAGCAGGTATTTGCACAGTAGGTACCTTTAAATAACACATGGGGGAAATCTGTCTCCAAAATGCCCTTTGTAAATTTTTGTAAAGAGATGCTATAGTCTGTATTTCAAAGGATGCAGGAAAGCAGGAGGTAAAAGCACACAGAAATAACTTGAGCCCTCCCTCTCGCCCCCAACAAAAACATAGTACTCATCCGAGCTGACATCATTCTAACACGGGTTTTGAGAAAAGATCACAATGCAATATTTTCTGAAGTTGAATGTTCCTGACTCCTGCAGAAGCAGACTCTTTTTAAAAGAAATGGTAAGTCCCCTCCAACAGGCCTCAGAGACAGGACTGCAGTGAGAGCCCTGCACAGGGTCCTGTGGTGGGGACCCTGAAGGATTGCCCACTGAGGTGTGCTTCTTGGAACCTGCTCAGGGGCAGAAACAAAATAAAGGAGTCTGCACAGGCTGATGCTGTCTCACATCTCTAGCCAAGCTCCAAAGGGGTCCAGAAATCAGTCATGTAAGATTGGTACTGAGTCTGAAGCAATAGACTCTACTGAGAGGGAGGATCAGCACATTGATCCCTCATATGACATAGCTTTTGGGAAAGGAGCTGGCTTGTACCTTGCCAACTTCAAGCAAGGGTACAGCAAATGCACAACTGTCTGCACTCGAGTATAGACTTACTAGCCAAGCTGACACAAAACTCATGGTTGAGTGCCTCGTACTGTTAGAATTCTCCTTTTCCCCATCTCCCGTGTCAAACTTACCAATCTCTGTAACACTGCATTTGTTAAACACTGAGAGTCTGTCTCTGCATTCATCTGTCACACAGCCAGTGGACCAGCACCCCCTTTCTCCCCAGTGGAGAAAGCACCAGCACCAATCCTGCAGCCCCACTCCAGGGCAGCCCTCTGACACCCTCCCCTCCTCTTCTCCTCCTCCATGGGGTAACACTCACTCCGATCCTGCAGCCATGTCGGAGTAGGACGTATCTGGTGTGGTGACGCCCAGAGGGATTGCAATGCTCATGACGCCCGTCGGGGATCACGGAGTCCAGAGGGCAGCGACTGGCCGCTCCGAGGGCGGAGAGGAGCCGCAGAGCCTCGGCCAACACGTCACGGACATGGGGAAACCTACCGGGGTAGAAACAAAGCATTGCATCTCCGTTACAGGATGAGCTCTCCCTGTATACCCCTAAAGAAGGCTTCCACAGCAAAAGAAAAGCAGAAATAGATTTCCATCAGTGACATGGCACATAATTTTTATTTCATTTTCTTATGTGGGGCCAGGGAAGAGGTAGATGGTAGTAGTTTGGTGAGGTATTTTTGGTTTTTTTTGTTTGTTTGGGGTTTTTTTTGTCTTGTTTTTTTTTTACAGTCTTGGACTGACATGCAATGAGTTGCTTGGCCATAAAGCCGATAATGATAGTTCCCCCCTCCCCCAACTAAACTTGGGACTAATTATCAGATAAGCAATCTATTAGCTCCTTCTGCATATAAGCAGCAGCTGTCACCTATCACCCACAGCCCTCCATCAGCATTTCCTAACTCCTTCCCTGAACAAGTTGCAGGCAAAGCCCCATCTGGGAGGACAATGAGACAGAGCCGAGGTGGACTGAGCTGAGACCTCTCACTTGAGATCAGCTTATATTTGCATTCACTGGGCCCACGGCACAGGCGAGCGTGACTGGCAGAGCGGCTATCCCCACACCACCGACAGCCTCCCCTCTGCAAACAAGGCCCGGCCTGGATTCTACACCAATTACTCAGTCTGGCGAGCCCTGACGCAGCGGGCCCTGACTTTCCGAAATCCCAGCTGACACCTCCCCGCGGCAGAGCCACGTCAGACATCTGGGCGCTCGCGCATAGGCCGCTCCGATGAGAAACACGGCGGGGCCATTGGCTTGGTGCGGGGAACCGGGGTGAGTCACAGCGGCATCACCGGGCGCAGCCACCGGCCGACCGTGCTGGGGCCGGCAGGGAAGCCCATGCCCGGGCTCCACCTTCCCTGCTGACCGCAGCATTTTGGTAAGGCAGCGAGCGAAATCGCCGATAAACGCAAACTTCCAAGGGTCAGACGGCGGATAGAAGTAAAACAGGATCAGCTCCTCGTTATGTAAATAACCTCAATAACACAGACGTTCATAAAGGAGCTATTATTCTATGCGGCTCTGAAGAAAACCCCCACGATGCAGAGAAAGGCTGCATTTCCGCACATAGCAAAGGTAGCTCTAAAACCAACGAAAACTAGCAACAACTTAGCCAGCCTCTTTGCAGGTTAAACTTTTAAGGGCAGCCTTGAATAACTTTCTGCAGTCTTTCCCCCGACTCTGGCAGCGCAGATGAGCCAGCCTGCCCTCGCAGCCGGCCGTCACATGCTCCCCGGCATCTCAGGGGCTCTGCCAGCAAACCCTCCTGGGCTACAGACAGGCCACGAGCCAAGTTTTCCTGTGGGTAGTGAATTTCTCACAGGGAACTGCCTTTGGACACCATAGTCCAGCCATTGTTTAACACACAAAAACCCCCAGAAACACGAAAACACACACTCACTACAAGGGCAAATGAAGGAAGACTGAGAGAGAGTCAGAAAGTTTAAATGCCACATACTATATTGCCTTTTTCTGTCTTAAAAGGCAGGCCGCTTCTCTTAGCACGAGGAAATATTTTCCTTCATCAGTATAAATCCCCAAGAGAAATCCTTCTGATAGTATGACAGGCATACAGCGAATTACAGAAGTAGCACGTAAAGATTTCTAAGTGGTCTGTGGCAATTCCCTGTTATGCCCCAAAGCAATGGTCTCGCACGGAGGTGGGAGATGAAAAAGAGAACAGGTAGGACTAAGCTCACAAGCAGCTCAAACCCAAGACAGCCCAGGTGTCCTTGAGTGTGTTTTCTGGAAAAATAAAAAGAAAAATAAAAGGACCTTTAGGAAGTGTCTCATTTACCCTTTTTCATGCTTGTAACAGAATTGTGATTTCTACAGATGAGACAAACTACTGCTAAAATACAGCTAAAAGCTACAGACAGCAATCCCTGCTTCAATCCAGTGTCACATAAAAGTCTGGCACAAGGTTAAAAGAAATAGGACAAGTTTCTCAGTGTCTGAAGCACCCTTCGCTTTTAAGGGACATAGAAACACACCCCCCCCCCATCTTTTTAAATACTTGCTTCGATTTTTTTTTTTCCTATTGATCTCTTGCCTTTGCCATGACCATATGCAGCAGGCAGCAGCACAAGATTTCATCAGGACAAATTCCAGCCTCCTGCCTGCTCATGACTCAGCAGAACAGGAGGATTTCAGGTGCTGCTTCTGGACTTGAGAGCCACAGGATATCTGGTCAGTCCTGGGATAACTGGGACAAGTTTTCAGCTTTCTCATAGAAAGCCTTCTTCCCATCAATGTTGTACAAACACTGTTGCACTGAAATGGTCTGGTAACTCCCACTTTTGGGAAAGAGATTACTGGAGAAACATGAAATACCAAACAGAAAGGTTAGACAAGGTGAGTTCCAGTTCAGCTGCTTTTGTGTTGACCCAGCAGTACTTGCCCAACCATCACCCATGCTCAGATTTTGCTGTTTGTTGCTACTGTTTTATATGTACTTTCAACTCTGACAATGTAACGTTCAAAACGAATTGCTGAGACCAAGCTGAAGTGCTGTCCAAGACCTCATCACCTTCAGGCTAGATTACAGTCTGGTCTTCATGAAACTTGGCCTGGTAACACCCAAAACACTAACCTGCACAGAAAAAACATGGGGGTTGAGGTCAAAATGTTCACCCATCGAACTGGCTAATTTTCTGTATATACAGTCCCCAAGCTCCTTCCTACCTCTCCTCCCCAAAATATAGAGCTATTCAGGAGAAAAAAGTCACACCAAGTTCTCTCCAGTGCCACTGGAAGAAGTTTTCCTAAAATTCAAAGTCTTAATACAAATTTGCTGAGCTTCAGACCACAACACAAACCTATCTCCCTTGTGATATAATTCTTGAAACCAAATGGAAACCGGAATTTTGATGGCCTAACAGGTAAATAATACTTAGCTGGTTTTGGAAAGGCAGGATTTAAAGATGTATTTTTTTCCCACATTTGGCATCTACACGCCTGCCTCCTTAACCAGTCATACCAGTATAAAGACACCTGGTCTTCCCCAACATCATCAAAACAGCCCAGATGAGCATCCACCCGCACAGCCACCCCAGCATTGGGTTCCCTGATTCTCACTCGGCACATGTTACACACCAAGGGACTCGACCACCTTCAGACCAAAACCATAAGTGGTTGCCTTAGCTAAAATGGGAATACGCGCTATTCAATTATTTCAGGTAACATTCTGTATCGGCGGAAAGGACTGTAATAAATCTAAGGTGGCCAAGCAAAGGTTAGGCAACACCTGCTGTAACAGTGAATTTAATTTTCAAAACTCTGTTTAGGATGCAGCAGCTGCAGCGCTGCATTGGCTCACTTCCACAACCACTGCCATCCATGTTACAAATAAAGTAGATGCAGAAAATTTACTGCTGGAAACTCTTTTCATTACTTGTGGTGTTAAAAGTCAGTATTAACAGGGACAATCAAGCATGGCCAGTCGAACAGCTCACTAGAGTCTCCTCCTTCAAGATGTGGTCATTCCCGTTTTCACTGTTGTCCCAGTCTCACAGACACCTCTGGGCACCCGTGGTGTGCAACACTTGGTGACAGACTCTACAAAATATTTATGAGCACCATGAAAAAAATCACCCCCAGACAAAAAAACCTGGGCACAGCCTCACAGACCACACATGTTACCTAAATTCAGATGCCAAGACTCCATCACCATTTGGTGCTGCTCAGGTAACACTACACAATCTCAGGGGGGACAGAGCACCCCCCTTGCACCCTCCCATGGTCACAGACTCAAGGGTAAAGCAAGTTACCACAGAGGGAAAACAGAGAGATTCAGTCTGTTTCTACGCAGCATCAGTGCACATCTATGAGTCTGTGTCTACAGAGGACTTGAAATACTTTAACATTGTGCATGCAGTATCTCATGCGTTGCTGAGAATGATAAGGTAACACTGGTACAAAACACACTGTGGACAAACTGAGAAAAGCCTTTTCTGATTATATACGACTTCAACGTGTTGCAGGGCAAGGAGGACAGGGAAATCCTCTCTGCCTGCACTGACGATGACCACTTATCATGTATCTCTTGTTCGCAGAGAGCAAAGGACAAACAAGTGCTTCCTTTACCACTCGCCACAACTCCAGTTACTGAAGTCCCAGAACTGAATGTAGATCCAAGACTTTTGACAACCTAGGATTACAAGTGTCCAAATGACAACTGCCGTCCTCTTCTCCATGCTCAGCAACAGGCCTACAGGTCATCTATATAGGATGAGCTCCATATATAATGAATCGCACATCCTTAAGCTCCCAAGACATTACCAGTCACATCAAATTCAAAGCACGTTTTTCTCCTGCATCTCCCACTGCCAAAGGCCAGAGCTGGTGGCAAACTGGAAATAGCAGCTCTGACGTGCAGCCTTCCTTGGCATCCTTTCCATCAACCTCATCTGGGACAGAGCCAGCAAATTCTGACCAGTTCATACTTATGCTGTCATCTGCATCAGTAGCAAACTACCCTGCAAGTGCAGCAGTACAAAAACCATTAACAGGCTTACAGATCCTACTCATTCACCTTCTCCCCTAGAAATTTCAGAATAGCCAAAATCTATGGAACATCTAATGTAAACATGAAGTGCTTTAATTACCATACTGAAAAAATCCCGTCTCATCAGCCTGTGCCACCCAAACACGAGCGCCATCCACCCCAGTCCAGTCAAGCACTGCCCGTTCTTTCCAGCACACCCATAAAGCTCATGTCAAGGGCAAATCCTCACAGAAGGGCAAGCACCTTTAATGCAAACAGAATCAGATCAAGAGTTTTTGTGTTTAAAACAGCTAGCTCTAAAAAAATGCATCAAATTCCCAGAATTTTAGACATGTTGTTCTATAAGGACACCTACACAGAGGCAGGGGCAGAGCAGACAAATCCTTAAGTCATTTAGCTCCAACTTATTCTGAAACATACAGATTCCTAAAAGTACTTGAATTGTGCCTCAACCTACCAATACAAATGCTTAGCTCTGCTC